CTTACTAAATGTAAAACTTATCTAAAAGTTTTTGGGATCTGAAACCCTCACTTTAATAACATTATGAATACGATAACAATAAACTGGCCCTATTCCTAAATTCAGAATATATCTACGTTCACCAACTTTTATACACTCGACAACAGTACTTACGTATCATTTATTATAGTAGTAAAACAAAAAGATAATCATTGAAAATGACTAACAATTTAGCTGAAAACGTTCAGAAAAAATGAAATAAAACATAAAAGCTAAACAAATGTACCTTCTCACTCGTATTCAATGAAACATACATTAAAGAGGGTATGCTGCCCAAATATATATGTGTGTGTGATAGAAATTATTAGAGGGGATTTGGAGTAATTCACCGAGTCTATGAAAACCTCAACAGAATGCAGAATGCACTGGACGGCCATTTCGTCGTATTTTGGGATTCATCTGCAGTGCGAATCCACTACCGAGAATCGAACCCGGACCGTTACGATGCGACGCAAGCATCATACCTACGAGACCAACGGTGAAGAGTTAACTAACCAGACTCGATATAGCGCCGCTCTTCATAAATTCTGTCGTGTAACTCATCCAAGTTTACATAGCCCAACGAAATGTGCGCCAACAAGTTATGTCTTCTATTCCCAAGCTGCTCCATGCAAAACATTAGAAGCCGGTTCGAGCAAGGATATAGAAGTGATAGAAATTACTAGAGGAATTTGAATAAGCGGCTTGGGCATAGAAAACGCTTGCGTCATAACGTAACGGTCCGGGTTCGATTCTCGGTAGTGGATGCGCACTGCTGATGAGTCCCAAAATAATATGAAACGGCCTCCTAGTGCTTTCTGCATGCATTCTATAAAGGATTCTTCTAGACTCGATGAATTACGTGTATATATATATATATATATATATATAGATAGATAGATAGATAGATAGATAGATAGATAGATAGATCCTTTGGTGTAAATAAAACAGTTCTCAATGCAAAATAACAGAGCTATTAATTAAATATTAATAAATATACATCATACCCCACGCCGACAGTACGACTCGGAGTTCCATATACTATGTAAGCACGGTATAAATGAACTGGACGTTATCTGGTTAAAATTTCTGGGTTTCGCAATGTTAGTTGGATAAATTATTACTGTTATTAAATATTTAATTGTACTATAATCTGATTTTAAATTTAGGTTCAAACTTACACATATAATTAAAAATTAAAAATTCCAATTTCAGTTCAAAATTTGAACAGCGGGATCGCTGGTATCAATATACGTTAAGAAGAATACATACTATGTTTCAAGGGTAGTAATTTTCTTTTTTTTTTCTTTTTTGCTTGGGGTAACCACTTAAAAAGTGATATTGATAATAAAAAGCGCAATAGATAAGCAGTGATAAAATAAGAAGATGAACAAGAACAATAGGTAAGCAGTGATAAAACAATAAAAATAATAGTAATAATATTAATAATATAATAATAGGTAATAGTAATATTAATAATAATAGGCAATAGCAATAATAATAATAATAATAATAATAGGTAATAGTAATATTAATAATATGATAAAAATAATCTTAATAATATGATTAAGTAATATTAATAATATAATAATGGTAATTCGGATCCCGCACATAATATTATTAAATATTATATGCGGGGTCCAAATGAGAAAAACTATATTAATCAGTGTGCTTGAGCAGGCATTTGTTTCGATGTCTTCATGTTCGAATAAACATTCTTCTTCTCTTTAACAAATTAGGGTTATCAATATGTTTTAGAATGACAATTTTTTCTAAAAGGCATAAATTACATTTATTGCTTTTTTCGCGGAAAGGTTTGGCTTACGCTATATAATTCAAGGTAATCGTTGGGTTTCTATTGCCGCTTATTATTTTCCAGAAAAATTAGAGAGGGCAGTACTGTTACTATATTTAATATTGTCTAGTGTCATTTTATGTTTGATGCTAGCTCTATAAATTATTCCTTTAGTCATGCACTTGCAGTTAAGAGTAAGTTTGAACATAAATTTAAAATTAGATTATTGTACAATTAAATATTTAATAATAATAATTTCCCCAACTAACACCGCGAAACCCAGAAATTTTTGCCAGATAACCGCCAGTTCATTTATATCTGATGACTTTATAGTGCAGGAAACTCCGTGTCGTACTATCGACTTTCGTTATTATGCATATATATATATATATATATATATATATATATATATATATATATATATATATATATATATATATCTGTCTGTGTGTGTGTATATGTATATGTGTGAGTATATCGATATATATATCTACGTTTATGTGGGTTAAGTAAATATATGTACCTTTCCATATAGGGAAAATATATTCTCATTATTACCTACTTCATGCTTTATCTATAAATTAAATAAATGCTTATTGAAACCTAAAAGTTTGTTTCTTGAATAATATATCTTGGAGGAAGAGGCAAAAAGAGGAAGAGGAAGAAAATGTTTGTCTTCTTATAGATTTAAACAGCGCCACCTAACAAACGTTTGGCGAAACCAAATGGAGTAACCCACAGCTGCCAATTACAAGAGAACTTACTGCGCAGGCGTGAAATAAATTCTTCCCTGGGTTTAATCAGTCAGTAGTTAGCTGCCATTAAGTGAAATTGTGCTCTGTTTGACCGTTGTATTTACGTCGCATTCACTTTGAATATGAATCAAGCTTTTCTTGAAACTTCAACATTTACCAAAAGTATGAGAATGATTCAATAAGCGTATTTCAGATAAGATTTTGGTACCGAAGATTCAAACTCGACTGAAAATCAATTAAAATCGATTCATATCCTGGAAGGCTTTCAACATGCAGGACACCCAAAAGCTCAAGCGAGCTACAAAGAAAATCGGTGATTGACAGTTCGATAATCAGAAGACCTAGGGATTCCCCTGACTGTCCAGAAAGTATTATCATTTTGAATATCTCAACTGCCATTTATCTCGTGTGGGATTTTTATTGTTTGTTTGTTTTTTCTTCTTAGAATTTTTTTTTTTGTCTTTTGACTCCATCCGATATGGGACTTTTTCCAAAGTTGCAATCGCCAAAGAAAAGAAAATGATTTCATGCGGTAGACAAGATTGAGAATAAAATGATGAAGCATCTGATGACGATTTCGAAAAAGAACTTTACAGATCATTTAGAAATATCGAATGGTGTCTTGGACAAATCTTTGAGCTTCCAAGGCAAAGCTTTAAAACAGACAAGGTACCGTTGTCCCCTATAGTTTTTTCGTTTATATACATAAAATGACTGGATATTTTAGGGGCAAAACTCTTATCTATCTATCTATCTATCTATCTATCTACCTATCTATCTATCTATCTATCTATCTATCTATCTATCTATCCGTGTATGCATATTTTATAGGGTCAGTGTAAAAATACACGGATGTTATTTGTACATCAATGGAAAGCTATGACCTCTTCTTAATGCTTTCACTCCAACCTGAAGAGAAATGAGCTTCGTCAGGCTATTTTGTTCTAGACACACCCACTACCACTGCGGCTGCAGTACATGCGTTTTCCCAACAATATTAATGTATTTCGGAACTCGTGATCGTTGTCGAAAGCTTTCACTTCTCCTATGTACCGTTTTCTAGTTTCCATTACATCTCTCACTTTCTATTTTTCATCCTTTTTGTTCTCCCTTTTGTTGTAATTGAAAATTCTTACTGCGCCCTTACGTCATTGAACAATCCTTCGTTTCTTTAGTGTTTTTCTCTCACTGTATAATGTCTTTTCAGTTGAATGCGTGTGTTAGTGCGAACGTGCGAGAGCGTATCAATAAGTTCATTACTTGACTCATACTTATTGGTTGAATGTTTATTTGAAATTTGACTGTATATAATGTACGATTTATATGATTGATTTTCACCAGTGAATTAAGTGCGTTGAAAATGAAGAAGATTTTGTTGAAAAGTTAATATTTGTTGTAAAAAAATAATGGTTTGTTGTTTGTTAATTATTTTATGTTAGTTTTTCATCATTAGGCTGCGGACTTATTGACGTTTATTTATTTATTTATTTATCTACCAAAACATCATTTGGGCCTTCACTGTGTCTTCTCTGTCTACTACCCCAGCTTTTCATTTCATCCTTGTTCACGCCTCGATATAGACTCATACTTCCGTTTCCTTTACACTTCATAACTCTGAGAACGTTGTATTCCCTTTTTCCCATTATGGCTGCCAAAACCAAGAACAAGGAAAGACAACACGCTTTGCAACTTGAAACTTACGCTCGTTCCAAAACATTTTCTTATTCTTTTTCCTGGGAAAGTGGAGATAAAAAAAAATTTTGCAAATAACAATGAAAAACCAATGCTAGTCAGTCAGTGGAAAATGAAGTGCACACGAAATTGCTTTGTATCAACTTTGAATCTTGCCCTCAGAGAGATTCACGCTTTCACAACTTCTCTCCGTTCTGTCTGCTCCATGTCGCCTTCATCTTCCTTTCTCTTTTCTCCTCTTTCATGTGCTATTTATAATTTATACTGTTTCTTGTAAGCTTTTAACGAATGATGAAAACTGAAGTCGTCTCAACAAAACTCTTTATGTCTATAGTAAATACATCCTTTCCGTAAATTGCAGCGAATAATTTAAGTTTGAGAAATCTATCCCAGATCTAAACGCTGGCTATGTAAGCTCATATTTATCACGCATTATAAATGAGTCTGACTAAAAACCTTCAGAGAACCATTTAGATGAACTGTATATGCCCTTAATTTCACTTTCTACTAAACTCGTGTTTGGGGAATGACAAAATATAAGGATTAAACATAAAGTGATCAAAAAATACGGTGTTGTTGAATGAATACAACATCGCCAAGTTTCAAGAATTCGTGACGTCTGAAGTTGTAAATGAGAACGCCACGAAACCCAAGTGGACATCTCGACTATTATGATATTTGGTTGCTTCGTTGTAATTGGTCTTTATTTATTTAAACTGGATTTTTACAATGTCAGAGGCTTACAGCCATATCACGTTGAAACACCGCTTCTCATACTATCACCGAAGTTAAGCAACGTTGATCCAGCTCAGTACCTAGACAGATGACCGCTTAGGAATACCAGATGCTGTAAGCTTGAATGTGCATGTGGTGTAGTCGATAACAGCTCAGAATTGGAAATCGGAGAGCCGAGATCGAATTCCAGTCAGGTTCGTTATATTCACTTACGCGCAAATACCCTTGGGAAATGTACGCATCCGCCTCTTCTCCCCAGCTATGGGTTAAGTAGTTGGATTCGTATCAGTAAATAATTATTATATCCAAAAAATTCTTATAATCTAAACATATTTTCTGGCTTTAAACAACCTACAAACGTTGATAATCCGTAAAACATCAATTTCAGAATAGACTGTGAATTTTACCAAATATTATTCTTTTTACTAGTGCTCAAGCAATGAAAGGCTCAAGGGCCACTCAAAGTAGACGGTTATTTAATGATGTGGGTAATATGAATCTAAGAGGAGGATGTGATGATTATGTGGATATGGTGGATAAGTAGCGATTGATGTTTGACTTGAAGAGGTTAAGACTGTAGCGTTCGAGAAAGAATCAACGTGGGTGACTGTTCCTCAAAGAAACAGTTTTGGAGGAAAAGCTAAGTGAATCTTCCTCCTTAGAAAATGGAATATAAAAGCCAGTTCGACCCCGACCCCGTGGATGAAGCATGACGGATCTTAGCAATAAAGGTCTAAACTGGTGGAACTTAAGAATGGAGCTTGTCCGAACATTTGCCATGGATATAGCGACAGAGTAGTGACAGGCTTATGATGTTTCGTCTGTAGGAAAAGGGGTTGCAGATTTGAAAATATGTATTCCTCACAGAACCGCGTAAATCCTCACTATCCAGCCGTGAAAGTGTTCAAAAGAGTTTACACGGCCTTGTAGGCGGTTATTTTCCACCCTTCTCCAACAGACGTATCGCTATTTATGTGACAAATATTCAGAAGAAATTACATTTATTAGACCCACCAGTTCAGACCTTTACAGCTATATTCCGTCATGCCACGTGCACAGAGTCGATTCATCTTCGTTCTCTTCATATTCTATTGGAAACAGCTTCTTCACCAAACCTGTTACTTTGTAGAAGTAATCCAGAGGGGATACTTTTCCAATCAATATGATCTTAAGCTCTTCAACTCTGTCGACCGCTTATCTAATCTACATTTCTTTTGTATGTGCCATGTCCTTTCAGGACGTAGGCGATCATGGCTCTCCACCTCTTCCTCTATCCCTTGCAGCTCTCAGCAAGCTCCTTCTTTCTGCTTCCTCCCCCAGGCCACGTTCTGTCATCTACCTGCTCAACCTCATCAGGTATGTCACGCGCTGCTTTTCCCCTGTCTCTCTTTCCCTCTATTCGATCCGTGACTATCAGATTCTTCAGGCCCTTCTTCCTCATTATGTGTCCTACAAACTTCAGCTACCTCTTTCTGGTGTTAAGTATAAGCCTTCTTCTTGTTTGCAACCTATCTAAAACCTCATCGTTGCTCACATGTCTGGTCCATGATATCCTTAGCATCCTTCTGTAGAACCACATCTCCGTCGCCTCGAGTCTCTCCTTCATCTTTGAGGAAATCGTCCAACATTCGCTACCGTAAAGAAGAACAGATGTCAAGTAACAGCTCAGTATTCTTTTCTTTGTTACCAAAGAAATCCTCCTGTCCCGCATTACTCTGCTCAGCTTTTGGAATGTGTCCTTGGCCATTCCAATACGTCTACGGACCTCAGTGTCGCACTTATCGTCTTCTGTCATGACGCTTCCCAGATATTTAGAACTTCTGCGTCTGCTTGATTCTAGTCTTCCCGACCTGCAAATCGCATTTCGGGCTTTTCCTCTTGCTAAATCTATTTTACATAGCCTCATAATATACACTTCTTACTTCCTTTTTCTACGCATTTATAACAACCTTATTCAGTAACACTATACGTTGATTCGCTCTTTACGGATAACAATAATATTAAAATAAGTTACCCAAAGTGAGCGTTAAGTTGATATTATTGCCTACCACTGTCGAAGCAGATTCAGGCTGAAACTTGAATTTTAAATAAAGTCTTACAATTGATACAACTGTGCGGCAAGATTGTCAATGACTGGAACAATTTTGAAAACAGAATCGACAAAAAATAACGAAATAATTATTTTTAAAATAAGTATTTTTATCTTAAGTTGTAAAAACACAAGAGATTAAAGCAACATATGTTTAAAAAATATTTTTTTCTTATTCAATAGGCTTCTAAAATTACCGTATGCGACATAAGTCTAATGCAGGATACAGTCAAAAGGTGCAAATATCATCATATTGGTCCGGATCAATGATAGAGTTAAGACTCTTAGAGATTTAGAGAGTCAAAGAGAATGGTAGAATAATATAAGACAGTGAGAATCCTTGGCGTCAGCACCCATTTTTCTCGCTCATACATCTGTAATAGTGTCTCGTTGCTACCATTAACGCCTCTTGCGTGAATACGTCATTTTCGCATTTCAGATCCCAAGTCAACTATAGGTCAATGATCAAAATTTGGATCAAGTCACGCATTGTCTCGTTTCTATTGGATTAACGGTAGATCATCATTCATAAAACCAATTGCCATTCATTATGCAACGAATTCAGTAGAAATCGGTCGAGTGAAGGAATCGCTTTGCGTCTCCTTGGAGAATACAGGAACGGCGTACAAAGGAATATCGGCACCTGTTACAAGGCAACATTAACATTTCTTGCGAAGATGCCGACGCGAATAAAGCAAATCTTTTATTATTTTTCTTCTAATTGTCGGATATATAATAGAATAGGGGTTTTCTTCTTCCGCAGAATGAAAAACAAATATCGGTACAAGGGGAAAATATGGCTATATTTAATTATGAGAGAATGCGGAGCAGAACATAATTTAACGCTGTTTTTGAGTTTTAATTTTCTTTGTGAAGCTAAGATTCCTTTATCAAATACTTTTATTCAGCTATCAACACTAATGAAGCCATTATGCTTCCCGCAATTCTCGATATCGTCATCTGCTTAATTGCTTTACAAACGCCAATATTACTAGAAAACTACATTGCCGAGGAACAGAAAATATTTATATAAACTACATCGGAAGGGAACTATTTTCTTCTATTCGGCTACAGCAACTACCACTGCCGAAATATGACGCCACTATCAGATCCTTTTCTTTCTACCACTGCTGATACATCATCCTTGCAAATATATTTTACCAAAGTGAGATTTATAACAAGAAAAACATCATTTACATTGTTTGGACTGTTGTTCACATATTTATTGCCATATTCAAGGATATATCCCCAATGACACATGGCCCAGTGGATAAAAGCGTTGATTGGTTGATCCAAAATGTGACTTGGACCAAATAGTTGTGAGTTCAATCCCTTGGTCACAGCAGAGAGAACAAAAAACTTGGAGAGTTGAGTTATCAAGAGGGGGGGGAGTAACTAAAAATTGAGATATTCAAAAGCATAACACTTGGAATTAGAACAATCAGCCTCTGGGATTCGGTTCGAAATTCTAACAAATAGCACCTGAAGAAGTCCAGAGCGTACAACGGCCAAAAAGTCGTGAATAAAGATGAGGACAACAGCCCGAACAATGGAAATAGTGTAAACAGTTGCAATACCTCATCTCAGAAATATAGACAGAAGAGTAAACATATTTTCAAGAATATCTCTATTCAGCTTTTCGTGTAAGTTTCTCGAAAAGTCCTTTTTTCTTGTACATCTTTTCTTTTTTCTTACAACAATCCTGAGCTAATTTAGGCTAAAACTAGTTATACGCATATTCAAGCATTTATAGACCAGTCCCTTCATCTGACTTACTAAAAGTAGCTTTGATATGGCACAAGGCCCCCGTCCTCTCACCTGATTGTTTTCGTGTTCTTATTGATATAATTATCAGTCAGTGCTTTTGTTATTTTTTCGGTGTTGATCGCTATTTCGGACTTTTTGACAAGACGAATGACAAGTTGTGTATATCTTTGTAATGACTCGTTTTGTTTTTGTTTGTTTTTTGTTTTTGTTCTTTTTTTTTTCCTAATTGATCTTTTTACGTAAAATTGATCTGTAAATGGTCTAAACAGTGATCCATTACCAATAACTTTTTTAAAATCATTTCACCCAAATGCAAGGCAATAAAGCCACTAAGATGCAAGGATTACTGATTGTAAGAGAACACTAAAAAATATACTATTAAGGATAGAAGGCAATAAAAGAACACGCATTAAGTCAGAAGATAACGACTGACATTGCATTTACATTTTTGAAGATCAAAGTTGACAGGGAAGCAAAAAGCCGGAAGAAAGTTCCACAATCGAGAAGTACGATAGAAGAAACGGTTACATCTGGCCATTTCAACTGTAAGATGATGAGATCTTGTCGCCAATCTAGTACTGCGTTTAAATTTATAAAGTCTAGATACCATGGAGGAAAATTCATCTGAACAGTTACCATGAAAGTATTTGTAGAAAAGGCACTTCCAACAAAATTATTAAATTATCTTTTCTGTACTAATATAATCGTATGTGCTAGTCTCACTTTTGTTCAAGAGGGATATACACCAAGTTAATCCCCCATTAATTATATTTACCTTTTGTCATGAAGTACTAGGTAATGTAATAATGACCAGTATAAAAAACAGAATCGGCAAGCCGAGTTCAATCTTCATCTAAGGTTGTTTAGCAATAGTACACTATGAATTCATATCCTTGCATGATATCTCTGCTATATCCCTAAATATCTTGATACAGAAAAAGACTTGATGGGCTAAAATGGAGAATAAGTGAGCGATTTGACAAGCCAAAAGCTATACCTTGCTATACCTTGCTGCTTAAGTCGTCAGTCAGTCAGTTAAGTGCCATACGTGATACAAGCATGAGCGATGATTTCTATTTCAATTCATGACTGAATAGGCAGAAAAGTTGCCAACCAAGGCTATAGGACCGTCTGTCATGCTATTCAACACATAGATGGGGAAAGAGGAAATGGATTTATATTTTTCCCAAGGTTATTTGCACGAAAATGAATGGAACGAACCCGATTGGAATTCCAACTTGGTTCTCCGACTTCTGATAACGA